ATGTGTAAAAAAGCATGTTCAGTTATTAAAAATAATAGAATGTCAACATTGGAAAGTGAAACTACATAGGGAGCCACGGGGAAGATCCATTCCGTTGACTGATCCTGCACACAAAAAAATAATTTTTATTCAGGTATCAACAAACGATGATTTACAAACATATTTTTTAATCAATAACATGAAATCAAACAGACTTATAAAATCGTCGTTATACGATTGCACGTGCCCTTCTGGGCATTTATATTTATGTTAAGTTTATATCGTATGACAATCGGCATTCTTCGGAGGTCATTTCGATGGTAAATTAGATGGCGTTTAGAGTAGTCTAAAATACACATGAAATGCTGATCTTTCATAACGAGTCCATGTATTGCAATTTTGTTTTATTGGAGTTTATGTTATTTGGATATACGTTTTAGCATGTTTTTAATAAAAAATGAGAGTTTGAGTCAAATCGGTGAACATGAATTTGCCAGCCAATGCCCCTTTAATATCAAAATGATCGACCAATGATGTTTATGTGATTGCCTTTAATATAAAAATTATTTGAAATGGTGTTACCTAAGGCCTTTAATATCCTAATATACAGTATAGGTTTTGTTCACTTTTTATAAGCGCACGTTGACCTGTACTTGTTTGCATCCTTGTTTGTCGGTCATTGGTGAAAATAAATTTCATTGGTCAGGCAATTTATGACATTTTTGTACGGTACAACAAGTAGAGAAGTGTTTAAACAGTTTGCTCGTTTAGTTTATTTCCAAGTACTAGTAGTCCAATCTCCTTATTTTTCATATGCGAAACTGTATATGCTTTTAACATATAGGGTTGTTGCACAACGGTACCTTAAAATTTAAAGTCATATGAAACTTCAAATTCAAAACAAAAGTTGAATATGTTTTATATGATTGAATGACTAATTTTTACTATATAACAAGAGTACGTAAACTTTCTTGTAAAAGAAGATGCTTTATGTTATCAAAATCTTCATAAATGTACTGCTATTGACTAATTGTCTTCCCGTACACTAACTCGCCGATATCTTCACGTATGCAGTGAACTTAATTACGAGACCTCTCGTTTATAGAACTTCGTCCACCACACAGCGCAAGTGCGATGGGAAAACAGTGATGAAAGAATGTAAACAAACGTGCACTGGAAGGTAAATAGTATAACCGATCCTAAAAGAACAAATTTAATACAACAAATCATTTAACAACTGCTTGAGAAAAAGTTTGATTAAAAAATGGGAACGCATGGAAAATAAAAAATGAATATCGGGGCTCTATCAATTCACTTATCTGTCACGTGTTCCAAATGCTCTGTGTTGATTGTTTATCAATGTCACGATCCGGTAAACTTCGGCAACAAACTCGAAAGTTAATTAGCTTGCGATCAACAAACACTGAAAGAAATGTTATTTGTCGAAAATACGTTCTAGATTCGTAATTGATATAGAAAACGTGCATTCAGGACTTAGTTTAGTATATATGCATGCATTGGATCAATAATTTCGATAACATTAAAATTATAAGAAACTGCTGTACCCATATTTTGACTATTTTATTTATAATGTCTGTTTTGTTCACGCATCGTTGTAAATATAACGGAATTTGATGAGACTGTCGTACAAGTGAGAGGTTTAGCGCTATAAAACCAGGTTCAATCCACCATTTTCTACATTTGAAAATGCCTGTACCAAGTCAGGAATATGACAGTTGTTGTCCATTCGGTTGATGTGTTTTGTCATTTGATTTTGCCATGTGATTAGGGACTTTCCGATTGAATTTTCCTCGGAGTTCAGTATTTTTGTGATTTTACTTTTTTCATATGAAACAGGGCGTTAAAAATGTTCAAACATCTCATTGTTTAAATATTTGTATCATTACATATATACAAAATTTTCTTTGTCATCGAACATTAGTATTGTAAACAAAATTACATATGATTTTCAAACAGTATTACTCTTTGTAAGAACATTCACCAAAAGGTTTTATAACGTTATTTCAAATTCTTATGTAAAATGCAAATGTAAATGAATTAAATTACAGCTTCTATAAAGATAGTTTTCGTAATATACAAAAGCTTCATACCTATTCAGTAGAAATGTACCAGTTTACATAATCATCCTAGCTAGTGTAAGGTATGTAAAATCAAGAAGTTCAACGACAAGTTTGATGAAATACGAATGAGGGCCAATGTCATACAAAACCTTGCTGATACTTTATCAAACGTGGCTTTTAAATTGATACAGCATATCCTTTGATTTGTGTAACGACTGATTAAATATCCTTTTAAAAGAATTTAATATAAAGATGTTTTGTTAAGAGGCTTGTTGACTGATTTATTAAACCCTGTACATTTTGCGTTTTCAAGTTTCAAATATCCAGTTGTATATGTATATTTAATTAAGAAAAATACTTATAAAATTGCAAATGTCATTCAGTGCTCGATTTCAAAAAAAAACATATTTGTACAAACCTCGAAATATCGGAGTTGAAGAAAAAACCATAAAAAAAGCTGCCTTAATTTTCTAAATTGTGCATGAGATCCTTCACATTTGTCAGCCAGCATTGTAAAATAGCTGTATAAAACAATATGCCCGTATCTCTTCAGCAGCTGTATTTGCTGAACTTATTTCTGGAAGCATGATTGGTTAATGGATGGATTGGTGTTTTACCTATAGTAGCAAGTATCACGTGTATATCAGGGTGATTACATGTTGATGTGATTTGACTGTTAATCATGAAATTGAGAAAGGAAATGGGGAATGTGTCAAAGAGACAACAACCCGACCAAAGAGTTGCATTCTTTAGTATATTAAGTCATAGTACTCACTGCATTTACGTTGCATTTTGGTTAATTTAATCTGATTTTGGTATTAAAACTTTTGTACTGGGTATATAGATATAAGAAGATGTGGTATGAGTGCCAATGAGACAACTCTCAATCCAAGTCAAAATTTATAAAAGTAAACCATTATAGGTCAAAGTACGGTCTTCAACACGGAGCCTTGGCTCACACCGAACAGCAAGCTATAAAGGGCCCCAAAAATTACTAGTGTAAAACCATTCAAATGGGAAAACCAACGGTCTAATCTATATAAAAAACGAGAAACGAGAAACACTTATGTTTTTTTAAGAATCATGTTGCTTTTTTATATGCAAGCAACTTCTGTGTCGCATGAGAGGTGTTGCAGATGAAGCAGAAAACGTTACCCTTTCCGGATTAAAAATATACGTTAAACATAAAAAAAACTGTGAATAAAAAAAGGACGAAAGGACAAACAACAGTCTACAAAACATAGAAAAACTAAAGACTGAGAAACACGAACCCCACCAAAACTGGTGGTTAAGAATAAAGGATTCTACTTCAAAAGTTTATATTGAAAGTTGTTTATTTTACGATTGTTTCAAAAGACCAGAATATTAAAAGGCCTACATTCCTCCTTAACAACATGATATTAAATCAATGAAAAAAATATAAAGGAACATAGTATTGATATCTATAAAATCGTTCAATTTGGTCTGAAAAAATTGTCAGAAAATTTTAGGCATTTTTCTGATGGAATCATCTCTACGATAGCTAACTTACTAAATAAATAAATGAAAAATGCTTCGAGTCAGAAGAAAATTGAAGAGAAAGGTTTGTACATTACATTTCTGGAAAAGATCAGTAGAAAATACTTACATATGTGAAGTTCATAGCAGTCTTATCATATGTGAATTATTTGTTTATCAAACTTTTCCCATTAAAACATATACATATTCCAGTAAAAACTCATCATTTGTATTATATGCATAACTAGTATATTTCAATTCCATTTTCAATAATCCTATTTGTATGTCATCTGGTTATAATTTAAAAGATAGGTAGTACAACACATACATGTACTTATCACAAATGATAATTTAGTATAAAAATAATGCTGCAATTCTTAAAGTCATGGGCGATTAAGTATGTAAACATACTATACAAATAAAAATTAAAAAAATAATAATTATGGGCACCTTTTACATAAAAATTCAATATCCTAGACGGGGTTAAATATATCATTTACATTTCTTTAATAGTAATCTTTAGAAAATATTTCTATAGTTTATCAGATGTTGAGTTTTAATCGATTTAAATAGAAAAGGTTATTGTGAAAATATTTCCTCTCCTGCAAATAATAATGTTCTTTTCTAGTAGTATAATGAATTTCGTGAATAGGTATTTAAAACTTTTCATTTTTTTAACCAGCATTAATATGATTAAGATTAAGAATACTAAGTAAAACTATATAAAAATATAACTCTAAACCAATCCATCGTTTTCCATTTGAATGTCAATATGATGTACATTTCGCTTATCCTTCCAATTTCTTCTATGACGTTTGAAAAGTTAGGGTAAGGTGTTTATAAATGAATAACTTTCTCAGGCCATTCTTTAAGGAAGTCGAAAGTTTAATTTTATCACTTTATCCATATCAGTGACAGTTTACTCATATCGGTGACCATTTACCCATTTCAGTTTTCATTTACTCTAATCAATTGATTGATTAATTGATTGATTGTCGGTTACTCTAATCAAGAAAAATATACTCATTTCAGTAACAATATATTCATATCAATGACAATTTACCCATATCAGTGTTCATAAACTCTTATCAGAAACAATTTATTCGCATCTGTAAAACCTTACTCATATCAGTGACAATGTACTTATATATCAGTGTTCATTTACTCATATAAGTGACAATTTACTCATATCAGTAACAATTTTCTCATATCAGTGGCAGTTTTACTCTAATCAGTGGTAATTTACTCATATCAGTGAAACTTTAGTATAATTAGTAAAAATTTATTCATATCTGTGCTCATTTACTCTTTTAAGCGACAATTTACTCATATCAGTGTCATTTAACCTTATTGGCGACAATTAAATCATATCAGTGGTCATTTACTCTTTATCAATGACTTTTTATTATATAAGTGACATTTTTATCAGTAATACTAGTATACCTCTTTAAATAGATTGTTGAGATGTAGAGCTGTTTCGACATCATCAATGGCTTTCCGTATATTTCTCAACTGCATATAGCTCTTTGATCGGCTGATGAGAGATTTCAGGTCTCTTGGGTATAAGTGAAGTGCCTGAAAAAAGATAATTCGGTCAAGGTACCAGGAGTAGAGTAAATGCCGATCTCTATGTTTTTTATGAAATTTTGTCTGCAATCAGAGCATGTTGAATTGCATCTTAATATCGCAGAAATAACATATATATTAATTTCTTATGGTTGAAAATTTGTTTAAATAGATTTAAAAGGGTGGCAAGATTTCAACTTGGTAATCAAAAATCATAAATCGAAGAAAGAAAAGAAAAAACGAACATACAAACAAATGTTACAGTCCACAAACTGATATTATATATAGAAAAATATTTCCCAAATCTCGCATTTTTGTAATTTTTTCCCACTTCTCATCTTGTTCCTTCTTTTTCCCATACCCTACGTTCTTCACCCCCTATATCGCACATCATGAAAGCGTGTCACTCCCTCGTAGATTGTATATAAAACATGAAATGATGACTAATAATTTTATTTTATTTTTTAATTTCTCGATATCTTTTTAAAATTTTAAAAGTCCGTAGTAGCTCATTTTTGCTGCATGAAATCAGTTTAGTCAGACATTGAAAAATAATGTTTTATATCATTTTAATGACAATCTAAATTCCTGTCTTAGAAATACAAAAGTTTTCATATATTTTTTGTAGTTTTGTTGTCAGCTTATCCAATTGTTTACAAAAAACAACGTGATAAATGTTATTGATAAAACCGATTGTTATTTACCAATAAAGTTTTAACATATTTAAAAAAAACCTATAAAGTGAACGTAACATGTGTTTACTTTCTGGTTAAAATGTAAACACCCACGCCCTAAGTAGGCCATATTAGCTCAAATGTCCTATCCCCTTAGTTACAAAACTTACTAACGGTCGACATTACACTATAATAACAGTATACGTTAAAGGTGACAAAATAATATGACTTTGTACTTGAGCAAAAAATTCAAAGTTATCGTTCTTTTTATAAAACATATGGCAATTAGTTCATGTATAACTTGAATTAGAATTCAAATAAACACCAAAACTGTGTATTAAAATGGATTTACGGGATTTAAACATCGATAAAGTGTAGTTACTTTTATTACTTGGTATTTATGGCTAATCTCTGAAAATCTTTTTTTAGATGTATTCGCAACTCTACTAGACATAGGGGACATTGACGTAGGGATTGACATATGATCACATATTGTATGGACACTTGTCAATGACTATATTGAAACCGCATGTTGATATCTAGACTTCTAGGTGTTTTGGTTTTTCTTCTCTTTTGGTTTTTGTCTCATTGGCGTTTACTTAACATCTTTTTATATTCAATGTATCATGTTATGTCTTGCCTGAAGTAGGCCAATTTTCTCTATTTTCAGTTGTAATGAGAGTGTCATGCTCTCTGCACGTTGAGAACCCTTGCAACATCTCTTTGAGTGGTCCATATGTGGCCTCTTGCAAGGCAAACTGTCTGCTCCTATCTAATCACCCTCATTTTCCAGTGGAAGTCCAAATATCCCCGACTTTCATTACGGACGGCTTCTATTAAAGCAACTACCTATTGTATTCATTGTTAATTTGTTCTCGTCCTAAAAAATCATTAAATATTTGCCACTGGAAGTAAAGCAACCAATATTCAAATCAATCAATTAATCATATTTTTATTTCATATCCTTTGGGCACTGTCATATATAACTATATATATCTTCTGAGTTTTATCTGGTTTTTTTTGGGTACTTTTCAGTGTTCGTATTACGAATTCGACAACACTTTATAGTAACCAAAGAAAAGAAAGAAGGGGTCGAGGTAGCGGCATATTTTTTTCTACCAAACAGTAGGGAATACTAAAACGTAATGGAAATCAGGAACACAGAAAATGAGGGAGAAGGTCCCAAAAAGACAATCAACAACCATAAGTCGAAGAAAAACAAGCAACACCACGGCCAAAGGATAACAGATGAACAGATAAATAACAGTCCACACAAAAACTACACAGAAAAATAAAGAATGCGCAACACGAACCCCACCTGGGTGAATTTAGGTGCTTCGGAAGGGTCGGCAGTTTTGTCTGAACCAATGACACCCGATGATTAATATCAGCTCAACCTTGTCAAAAACAGAGAGGACCAAACTGTCAAAATTTTCTTAGAATCAACATCAACGTCATTTCAACACATTTTAGTATAATTGCAGGGCCCAAACAGAGAGGAGGCGCATGTGATACATGTTAAAGAAAATATCACACTTCTCGTTTGAATTGTTTCACATTTTGTCATGTCGGACCTTTTTGTGGTTTTGTCCATTTTTTGAAGGCCGTACGGTGACTAATAGATGCTTGCATTTACGTCATTTGGTCTCTGGTGGATATTTGTTTCATTGACAATCATACCGCACCTCCTTTTGTATATTAATATCTTATAATAAGAATAAAACTGTCTCTAGCGTCAATATAGGCGGGTATCATCTGTTTCCTATTTTCCGTTTCATGTGTTCTTTCGAGTTGCTTTTTGTAGCGGTTTTGTTTTTGTACAGTATCCAACTAGATGTCGTTGTATATGAATATACAATAGGTCGCATAATATGATTTCTGTCGTTTTAAATACTTTGATTATAAATATTATGCTTACCTCATTAAATTTGCTAACTGCACCTTCAAAATCATTTTCTTCCATTAATTCGACTCCTTCTTTCCGATAAACATCATTTAGAACTTGTGTCTTCCTATTGTGATACTTGGCAGACATGCTTTTTGTTGTTTTCACTTTCGAGTTTTATTCCTGGTACAATATAACAAATGACTTATTTAATTCATCAAACATTTCAACATCTAACAAATACGAAAAATCTATCAGATTTTTCAATGCCGGTTCGGAGTTCCCCTACATCTGTTCTAAATCTGATTAATCTCTACATAGCCACCCATCTACACGAAATGGTATGTTATTAATTCATTCGTCAAAGTGTCATAGGTTGAATTGTGAAAATATGTATTTTTGAAAACGTTTAATAAATTTTAATCCTCCTCGTAGACTATTATCCGAGTACACGAAATCTAGATTAAGGCCAACCAATAAAACTTTCACCGCGTTTTTGAAGTACATGTATATGGTGTACTTGCAATAATTTATTGCATTGCAACTTTGTAAAGATATATTTTAATTAAATAAAAAACACGAATACTAATTTCAAGTATTTGGAGTTGTGCAGCTTATATAAAATCAAATTGATGTACCTTTTCAATGAAACGAAAAATTTATTTCGTTTACCTATTTGTTGCCCTGACTAAGTAGATTAATATAATTCGCTTCATTAGGTGGTCTTTGAGCGAATTAATTAATAAAAGCTTGATCACATTTGTATAATCGTTGATGTATGTACAAAATCCAGGGAAACCATTTAAATCAAATGTTATGACAAACCACCATTTACTTCGTCAATATAAAATTGTAACTTTTTTTATTCGAACGTCAATGATGAGTCTATTGAAGAAGAAACGCGTGTCTGGCGTACATAATTTAAATCCTGTTATCGATGATATCATTGAGTTTATTGTTGTATTTTACGGTTGAAAATGATGAAACTTACATCCGTGATTATTACATTATGGTAAACTGAATATAAAGACAATGATCTGAGAATTAGTATTGCTGATGAACATTGCGGTTTATCTATGTTGTGATGTTACACTATTGTTTCAGAAAAAGGGTGAAGGTACCATTAAAACGTTTAAACCCGCTGCATTTGTTTGCACCTGTCCCAAGTCAGGAATCTGATGTTCAGAAGTTGTCGTTTGTTGATGTGGTTCATAAGTGTTTCTCTTTCTCGTTTTTTTTTATATAGATTAGACCGTTGGTTTTCCCGTTTGAATGGTTTTACACTAGTAATTTTTTGGGGCCCTTTATAGCTTACTGTTCGGTGTGAGCCAAGGCTCCGTTTTGAAGACCGTACTGTGACCTTTAATGGTTTACTTTTATAAATGTTGACTTGGATGGAGAGTTGTCTCATTGGCACTCATACCACATCTTCTTATATCTAATTAGTTGATAAAGAGGACCAATGAAAAACGTGATATACATTTTTTTCAAACTCTGTTCACCGCTTTACCTACAGAGGTAATGCAGTACTCTCTGTAGGTAAAGCGGTGGCTAAATAATGTGTACCGGATTTAATCACCGGTTGATGTAGTGTTAATTTTGACAAAATACTGAATAGAACCTGAACAATCAATGTTACTTACTGAGAGGCCTACCTTAGACAATTCAAGTATGACAAATTAATAATTTCTACCATTTTAGCGCCTTGGTGTCTCCTTTAAGGTCATCAGCTTTATTAAAATGTAATCTTTAACCTTATAAAAGGATGGATTGATGGATTGGCGTTTAACGTCCAACTGCAAATATTGCATGCATATTAGGACGAGACAATGTTAATGTGATATGACTCCTATGTTAAAGTTAACCAACATGCTTAGAGGGCTTTTTAATATGCTAGTTTACAGGATAACAGTCCACAGAAAGACATGACACCCTACCTGGACACATTATTCTCACTCATAGCCTACTAGTCTTTTCGCAGAGTCCCAAATGCCGCGTGCTGATTGAAAACGAAGCAAATATCAGTTTTCAAGTCGTTAACCCGACCAGGAATCTAAACCCACAACCTCCCTCACTATATGGATATGTATAACTTGATGAAATAAAGCAATTTAGTTCAGTTCCAATGGATATTTATATTTTCTCTATGAATTCTGACCTCTGACCTTAATATTAGTTGCACATGCATTGCTGTTATACTTATTGTTGTTAATTTCATTTAATGAGTGACATTAAAAGATTTAATTATCACATTATCCACACTCAAAAAAACTTAGGAATACTCACATTACAAATATACTTAAATGAGAAATCCTGTCGCTTAATACATAATTGCGTTACGTGCTTAAGAGATAGGTTAAGCAGAGAAGGTTAAAACGAAGCAAATTGTATTAGGGGTATGATCAACTAGTGTATAAATCATGATTGTGAATTATAACCTTTTAAAACGTGTTTGATAGTTTACTAGTTGTAATTTAATGTATTGTGTATAGATTTATAATAGATATGATCAATGCATGCACATCAAAATAAAATATCTATCGATCTAAGATATCAAATGAAGGTCACTGGGTCCGTTTTTAGATGATAATATTTAAGATTTAAAATACTGAATATTGACCTCCAAAATGTGTAGTAAAATCCAATACAGGGGTGCATTTCAAATTTCCACCCCACAACCCCCGTTTTGTTTGCTTTCATATTTTTTTATCAATACTAAAGACTCCCCAATCCCTTCGTTTGAGACCATCGAACATAGTAAATATATAGTTAAGTGCTTATCATGCTTAATCTGAGCTCATTTTCCTGTATTTTCGATTACGATTTGCTGCTAAAAAACAAAAGGAGGTGGTGGTATACTAAAAAAATCGCAACCTTATCAAATCAGGAACTTCGCCAGGGTCCGTTCATATTAGACCCCATTTGAAATAAGCCGTATGGCTTTCATGGGTAATCCTGATTATGTATGAACAATTGTTTTATGATTTGATGATTTCACTATGTTCACATGCCTGCTATTGTTGTATACTACTTTAGTAATGTTTCTATGTTGATATTTGATGAAATAAATCTATCTATCTAATTATCTAATGCCATATATGGTATTGAAGACAATGGGGGTATTGTAAAGACGTCATTTGTATATTGCTCTCTAGATGTCTTTTCTGGTTTTATCGTGTGTTGCCACAATCAGTAGAATAACATTGTTTTAATTAAAAAAAAAAAAGATAGACAAAACCATGACCGATAAAAGACGAAAAACAAACAACAGACAGAAAATTACTACATAGAAAACATATGATTGAGCGTCACGAACCCTACAAAATATAGCGGTGAACTCAGGTGTGCCAGGATCAGCAATTGAAGATAAATCATTCAACCAATATATGAATATCAGGTCGTAGCATAGTATATATAGACACTGTCAATATTAGTCCACCTAATTCAGTCATGTATATAATAATAAAAATAAAATTTTACTCCAAAGCGTAAATTTGAATTTACTCGGTTTCAATTAATTACCTGGTTACATAGTTCTAGATAAAAACTGGGACATGCAATTATAATGCCATGTCAATTTAATATGAATAAAAACAGATGCCAATGTTAATTTGATACCTGAACACTAGGTTACCAGGTTTGACATGTGATACCTTCTGGGACTTTCAGTCCTCCTGCAGTGAGATTGACCAATGGAAGTCAAACAATCTCAAGATACTGAAGTTTATCAAATAAAGCATAACCAATTTATTATGAATTATACATATAAAAACAACAAGAGTGTACACACAAAAATGTCTCACCTGCTTTATTGATTATGACTGAATTTATGTTAAAAGTCATAGAGAAAAGGTTTATACAACAAGTATAACATAGCAATTGCATTATCAATAAGCCATGTAAATGAGTTAAAGGTCAGATGAACCATGGTAGAGGGAGATGTGCACCTTACAATCATTCCGTACATCAACTATATTTTTCCTTTTGCTTATAGTATCTGAGAAACAGTCCTGAAAACCAAACTTTGACCAATGAATAATGCAAATGAAGTCACGGTCAGTTGAATCCTGCCAGACAAACATGTACACCTTTCAATCATTCCATACACCACATATATAAAGTTAAATTAACTTATTGCTTTTAGAACTTGAAATTCTGGCTAAAACACAAAAACTAAACGCTAAGTTTTGAACCATGAAAATGAGGTCAAGGTTAGACAAACCTGCCAGACAGACATGAACAGCATACAATCATTTCATACATCAACTTTGGTTTACTTAATCCTTACAGTACCTGAGAACATACCTTACATTGAAAACTTAACATTGACAAATTATACAACGAAAATGAGGGCAAAGTCATATGAACTGCCAGACAGAAATGTACACATTGCAATCGATCATTCCATACACCAAATATAGTTAAATTTTACTTATAGTATCTGAGGATTGCACTCGACAAAAAAATCATTATTATATTGACAAATGAACCATGAAAAATGAAGTCAAGGTCATAAATACTTGCCAGACATACATGTATACCTTACAGTCATTCCGTATACCCAATATAGTTGACCTATTGTTTAAAGTATCTGAAAAACCGACTAAAACACAAAAACTTAACATTTTGATCACTGATCCATGAAATGAGATAGAGGTCAGGTGAACTCTGTCTAATACTTCCATGGTCTGAGCGACATGTAGTGACCTATTACTCATAAGTGAGAAATTCACATGATAAATAAGCTATAGTTTTTTAAGCAGTTGCTGAACCATGAAAAATTAGGTCAAGGAAAATGGACAAATCATAGACAGAAACTTTGTAATATAATGCACCTGTATACAAGGTAGGAAGCATCCTTGTCTTCTAGCCCCTGAAATATAAAGATTTATACAGATGGTGTAAGCTGCCACCAAATTGTAATCCCTATGTCTGGCATTTTTAGACTTCTGTTGCAGGGGACATAAACAAACCTTTAGTGAGACACTGCTATTCTCCTTAAGATGCCTTTTACGACAAGTTATATGATGGTTGGTCCGTTACTATAATATCTGAGAACTGAACTTGGACATCAAAATTATTTTGTAAAAGAGGACGAAAGATGCCAAAGGGATATTCACTCATAAGTCAAAAACAAACTTACAACACCATGGGGGAAAAAACAATAAAAACACAAACAATAGTACATAAAGCACAATATAGAAAACTAAAAACTGAGCACCACCAAAAACTGGAGTGATCTCAGCTGCACTGGAAGGGTATGCAGATCCTGAGATCACAGTAAATGAAATGAAGCATGTAAGTGTAGGTCAAATTTATCTATTTATTTGAGTAGATTGATTTATATTCAGATAGAGGCATATAAAAGATTTGACTTCACCTAATGTCAAGAACTGAACTTGACATATACACTTATTAGAAATGAGTGAAAAATTTAGTATCATACTTCTCTGTATACTCAGTAACTAATGTGATCATTCTTTAATACAGTTTAATTTGTTATTCATTTTGTGTTTTTGTTATCTATAATACCATTATTTTAAAGTTAAGGTAGCTGGGGTGTCCAAATGTTCGACGATAGAATTTTCTTAAACTACCGTGAAAGACTTCTGGTCAACGTACTTTCAAGTTTCAATATAAAAACTGTGGGTCACGTACTTTGTTTTTTTTGTTAAAATACATTAAAGTTAACAAAATTTCAGTTATTTTATATGGGATATATAGGGGAAACTTAATTTTTGCTCATTTTAAAATCATTAAACGATAGAATTGGTTGAAATTCAATGAGAGTTGCTTTTCATTAATACTTCCGAAATATCAAATAAAAACAGGGGATTACAGACCATATTTTCTAGAAAAATCCACAAAAAAAACAGGACTTAAAATTAAAAATCTAAATACCTGGTTATATTTGGAATATCAAAGAACCCCAATAATTCAATTTTTGATGAAATCAAACAAAGTTTAATTTTGGACCCTTTTGACCTCAATATGAACCAATTTGATAGCGGGGCCCACAAATAAAAAATCTAAATTCATGGTTAGATTCAGCATATCAAAGAACCCCAAGAATTCAATTTTTGTTGAAATCAAAAAAAGTTTAATTTTGGACCCCAACTTGGACCAACTTGAAAACTGGGCCCATAATCAAAAATCTAAACACATGTTTAGATTCAGCATATCAAAGAACCCCAATAATTCAATTTTTGATGAAATCAAACAAAGTTTAATTTTGGACCCTTTTGACCTCAATATGAACCAATTTGATAGCGGGGCCTACAAATAAAAAATCTAAATACATGGTTAGATTCAGCATATCAAAGAACCTCATATATTCAATTTTTGTTGAAATCAAACAAAGTTTAATTTTGGACCCCAATTTGGACCAACTTGAAAACTGGGCCCATAATCAAAAATCTAAATACATGTTTAGATTCAGCATATCAAAGAACCCCATATATTCAATTTTTGTTGAAATCAAACAAAGTTTAAATACTGGACCCTATCTTGGACCAACTTGAAAACTGGGCCCATAATCAAAAATCTAAACACATGTTTAGATTCAGCATATCAAAGAACCCCAAGAATTCAATTTTTGTTAAAATCAAACTAAGTTTAATTTTGGACCCTTTGGACCTTAATGTAGACCAATTTAAAAAACAAGACCCAAAATTAAAAATCTAAATACACGGTTAGATTTGGAATATCAAAGAGCCCCAATAATTCAATTTTAGATGAAATCAAACAAAGTTTAATTTTGGACCCTTTTGACCTCAATATGAACCAATTTGATAACGGGGTCCACAAATAAAAAATCTAAATACATGGTTAGATTCAGCATATCAAAGAACCCCATATATTCAATTTTTGTTGAAATCAAACAAAGTTTAATTTTGGACCCCAATACGGACCAACTTGAAAACTGGGCCAAAAATCAAAAATCTAAATACATGTTTAGATTCAGCATATCAAAGAACCTCATATATTCAATTTTTGCTAAAATCAAACAAAGTTTAATTTTGGACCCTTTGGACCTTAATGTAGACTATTTTGAAAACTGGACCCAAAATTAAAAATCTAAATACACTGTTAGATTCGGCATAACAAATAAATAAATGTGATCAAAGATTTTACAAATCTAATGCGCCATACTGTGCAATTAAAGATTACTTCTTGAAATTTTTCAATATTTGAAATTTGAAAAAAATAATATTTGAAGAATAATTCTTTTTAATTTCTGAAATCTGAAATGAGAAAAAATTGACCCCCCACAATTTCTTTTTATCCCCCCCCCCTTTTTTCCCTCAAAAAATTCTTTCCCTCAAGATATGGTCATAATCTCAATTCAAATTTCCAATGGAGTTGGCAACCATAATTACCCATTTAAATTTACCATAGTGCTAACTTAATCTATTTTATAATAGAATTAAAAATATAGTGTCAAATCTTTCATATGGATTTTTTTGTAAAAAAAAATGATGCAACATTTGCAGATATTTTTACTGGTCTTCCTTTATAAATATGCATTTCTTTAAACATAATTTAAAAGCAGTGTAAGGGAAGTAACCAAAACGTTGTATTTGGATTACCTCCCTTACACTGTTTTAAATTATCTTTATTGTTCATTAACCATTACTTTATACATAATTTAAAAGCAGTGTAAGGGAGATAATTTCAATGATGTATTTGATTTATCTCCCTTACACTGCTTTAAATTATGTTTTGTACTAAAGTATTTGTCCATTAACCAGGACAACCTTGTTTTTCCCCCTTTTTTGCCCCTAATTCCTAAACGGTTTGAGCCATAACCCCCCAAAGCAAATCCTAACCATCCCTTTGTGGTATGGAAACTTGTAGTATAATTTCAGAGAGATCCATACACCGTTCCACAGTTATTGTCTGGAAACTAGAAAATGCTTATTTTTGGCCCCTTTTTGGCCCCTAATTCCTTAACTGTTGGTACCATAACCCCCAAAATCAATCCCAACCTTCCTTTTGTGGTATTTAACCTTATGGTAAAATTTCAAAAAGATCCATTCACTTAAACTAAAGTTAGAGTGCGAAAACCAATGTGTCTTCGGACGACGACGCCCACATGAATAAGAGCTGCATGTATACTGCATTCTTGATATCTTTTGGTTATTTTTGTTGTTTTGTTACTGTCTCATTTACCTCACATCTCAATTTATTCATCCTCACAAAAACATATGTCGCTAAGAATAAAGAACTTAACTTGAGCATTTAGCCTTAGTCAATGAAGGGTAAAAAGAAAGTCAGAGGACCAACTTTAATGCCAAGCTGTTTCATTACTCTAGGAAAATTTTTGCACCAAGTTATATGGTTATAGGTCGTTTAGTATCTAACAAATGAACTCAGATATAAAACATAACCCAAGTAAAATGAAGCATTTATTAAAGCTCATAGTGGGAATCTGATGAAATATAAGGCCAAGTCGTTAAAGGATGAAATGTGGGATAGAATATCATGTCTTCCTACTGTTATTGCAAGAGGCAATAAAACTGGCTACACCAAACTGCACTTGATATTTAAGTCTAGCAAATGGAAGATAATTAGTAAAACACTAAAAGGTTTTTTTAAATTTTTTATTGTTCAACAAGCCAAAAATAATATGTAACAATATTGTATAAAGAGTATTTCTTGGCAAGAAATAGAATGTATTTATAAATAAATAAAATATAAAAAAAAATCATAGAATCATAGGATTACCCTGAATAAACATCACAAAATAATACTTATTATAATACTGTTCAATTGTACAGCCATACCAATTTTAATTCTTGGCAGATGATTTAAAAAAAAAAATGTAACTACCTTCTGTGTAGATATGTTCAAATTTCAAACTATATCTAATAAAAAATAAACACAAAATGAAAAACAAAAAATTTACCCACCATTATATATTTACTCAATTTAATTTTTATACTAAAAAATTTGTAAAAACAGAAACCCTAAATCACATTGTTTTTTATTTACATATAATGATCCAAATGCTTAATGTTTTTTTTTTTTAAAGATTTGCATAAATTCCTGTATTCTTCTAAAAATTCTTATATGTGACACAGTTTCATAGTGTCTTACCATAAATATTGTACTTCACAAATAATGACTAATCAACACCTACAACAATTGTAGACGTTTTAGGTAGAAGTCAAGGTTCAGATAGGAACAAAGTCATTTATTTTTACAACAAATACTGATAAAAAATATAGATTCTTTAATGCCCTAAAGTTCATGCTTCTAATAGTAAGGCTTTCTTTTCTTAAACAGATTTTCATATTTTAACTTTTTCCAAAAAAATGCATCCATTTTCTTTCTTAAGCTTATAAGAATATTTAGTTTACATGGCATGTATGTAAAGGAAAAGTTATACAATAATTTAATTCAACAAGACTAGTAAAGATATCATTTCTTTATCTATCCCTATTTATATTGATTCAAAACTTCTTTTATCCCTCATTACTTTAAAAGAAAAATACTTTCAAGCTAAAAAACATAACGACATCAAATTTTCATATAAATTTTACTCTTTTATAAGTTTCCTAGCAATTTGTTTAAATTTTTTTTAAATCTTTACCCTAAATTCTTCAAAGATTCAAAAAGTCATGCCATTGTCAAAAAAAAAAAAAATTTATTTGTTCTATCTAGTTTTATGTCTCTCCTTCCTTTGATTCTCTATCTTTTTCATCTTTGATTTCGTCTTTACTTTCCTCTTTATTTTCCAGTTCTTCTGTTTTACTTTCATTATTTTCATCTGTTGTCTCATTTAAATTCTCTTGTTTATTACTATCACTGTCTTTACTTCTAGGTGTAACAGGCTTTTCTTCATCTTTTTTCTCTGATTCTACTTATAAACAATATGCAATTGATAAATACATTATAAATATTTTTTTCATGATCTATTTTTTGGTAGTTTTAGCACTTTTTATTACAACCTAGAGAAACAATATGTATACCTATGTATGAAAAAGCTTGGGAATTATTTCTGATTTGTTTTCCCCCTTTCAAGTTTCACTTTAATTTTGCACCTATATAATTGAAAATATATATCTTTTTTGACAGAAATTGTCTTTGGAGAGATGTCATTTTCTTTAGATTGATCTCTCTCTTTCATATTTGACATTTACATGTAAATATACACACTCAGAAAATGATTAGATACACAATGGTTTTATGTAGGATTTTAATGAAATAAGGCGGATACAGAGATACAAGCTGTCAACTCCATTTGTGGATATTGCAAAGTCAATGTCTTCTTTTAGGAATCTCAATGCAATTAGATACTTAAGGGTCTGTGAAAGTTCAAACAAAAATCAAGTACTTGGTTGAAGAGAAGTTAAAAAGAAGTTACAAAAATAAACTGTAATTTTGATAATGCAAATGTTGAAATTAAAATAGAAATACTTTAACATGTAAGTTATGCAAATATTCAAAGTAGATGAACCATGACTGAAGGTACATGGCTAAACAATCTCCATGGAATGAGATTGGCCAATGTTAATACAACTGCATACCAAATACCACTGACTTATTATAAGTCGTTCCCTTTAAACAAACCTAAACACAAACATTAAGTTAACTTGTAAACTATGTAAAAGTTTCAAAGTCAATGAACCATGATCAGGGGTGGGGCTATATAATCTCCATGGAAACCATACTTGCAAATGCCAATAAATTTGCATACCAAATATCATTGACTTAACATTAGCAGTTCATCTTAAACTGATCTAATCATAAACTAATACATGTAAACTAAGCAAAAGTTTCAAAGTAAATAGACCATGACTGAGGGGGCAGGGCCTAATATTCTCCATGGAAATGAGATGTGCTAATGCTTATACAACTGAACTAATGGTTCCCCTTGAACAGACCTAATCACAAACTAATACATGTTAACTTAGAAAAATTTTCAAAGTCTATAGACCATGACAAAGGGGGCGGAGCCAAATAATCTCCATGGAAATGAGATATGTCAATGCTTATACAACTGCATACCAAATATCATTGACCTACCACTAGTGGTTCCCCATAAATTGACCTAATCACAAACTAATGCATGTAAACTATGAAAAGTTTCAAAGTCAACAGACCTTGACTGAGGGGGCAGGGCCAAATAATCTCCATGGTAATGAGATATGCCAATGCTAATACAACTGCATACCAAATATCATTGACCTACTACTAGTGATTCACCATGAACTAGACCTAATCACAAACTAATACATTGTTGACGCCGGAAACAGCATACCTATGTCTTGCTTTTTGACTCCGTCAAGGAGAGACAACAAAGCACAGTTTGAACAAACCAATGAACAACACAAGCAGGCAGAATTAATATCCCATCACTTCAGAAAGGAGGAAAAATAGAAATCAAGTCATATAGTATACCAAGTTTTCTCTTGTAATGCAAGAAACTGGACCAAAGTGAATTTTAAGATTAACCTGTGATAAAAATGGCTATAAACTAAAAAAATTAATAATAAATTGTAGCATCTTTATTTTACCTTCCTCCACTTTTTTGCTTGTTTCTTTGGCATTATTTGTTTCGTTTTCTTCTTTTTCTTCCTCTGCTCTCTGTGATGATACAGCAGTCTGTATTTCTCTCTCTCCTTCTTCATCAATCTTAACTCGTTCTTTCTTTGCACTAGTAGATGTATTTCCCTTAGCTATCTTTTTATTTACATCGTCCATAGCTTTTTTGATGGCTGACTGTGCTGACATGTCACCTGCAATTTTAAAAACAAGATATTAAATGGCTATTTTATGTCAATTTTACAATAGACATGTGACATCACTTATAGCATTTCAGCACTTAAATATCAACACAATTAATATCAATGTTTTGTTGAAACAATAGAACATAGCTTTGCAAAATAAGCATGTTATTCCAGAATGTGTAACCCTATATACAAGTATTTAGCATATTTTTACAAAATATTGAATTGAGTGGTATAGAGGTCTGTGACCAAGACTGAATACATATCTACCGAATTATGAATAAACTGTTGACACAGAGATATGTCTCACCTGTCGGCATAAAATTCAGAAAAAGACAATCTGATGGACAGCAACATTGCTTATTAATTCAAAGACAATAGGCCATGTCCTAGGGGGCAGGGCCTCAAAATAGTTGTCAAACTGATATGTACTGGTAGTAATGCAACTTCATACAAAATATCATTGATCTATCACAAGTAGTTCATTTTGTAGTTCTTATCAAACTGACTTAAGCAGAAAACTTAACATTGAAAATTGCTAGTTAATTCAAAGTCGCTGAACCATGACCTAGGGGGCAGGGCCTCAAAATAGTCATCAAATTGATATGTACCGATAGTAATGCAACTTCATATTAAATATCAATGATCTATCACAAGTAGTTCCTATCAAACTAACTTAAGAAGAAAATTCAACAATTGTTGATGCCATTGTCGCCATCACAGTCAACATTTGGTGTTGTACAATGCAAAACTGACGATAAACAAATAATGGATATCTTGAAGGCAATAAATAGCATTCACTTTATTTTTACTTCAAAGGACAAATTCAAAAGTGTTCACACAAAAGTAACAACTTACCTTGTGATTTTGCTAGTTCAAGTGATGTATCAAATGATGTTAATGCCGCACTTAAATCACCAAGTTTTACTGAAATGAAAAGAAAAAAGAGGATATATATTAGATATCAAAGTTGTCAAGTTAAGCTGCAAACCAAACATGCATATCAGTTTTAATACTTTTCTTTTACTCTTTGTCACTTTTCATTTAATTGCCACCCTTAAAATGGGTATACCTCCTCAATTTCTGTAACTGGGAAATGTGTAATATAAAGCAGTTCAGATTTTCTTAAGATCAAAAGGTATATGATTTAAAAAAAATCACTATTCTTAAAATATTTTTTGTTAACAGATGATTTTCAAAACAAAAACCAAACAAAATTCTTTCTATTTCTTATAATATTTTGAAATTACAGTACGAAATTAAGTAAAATAAGGAGAAAACGTTGATGATGCAGGGTTTCTGGTGAGCAAACCTAGATAATTTGACATAAATGTGATAGTGGCAGATGTTTGTTTAGAGTTTTTTGTACCTACAAGTTGCCATACTTGTAATGTTTATAGGTTTGCTTGACTTGTATTCACTTTCTGACCAGCATTTTTACTGACAGTCTATTGTGTGTGTTAAATCTCATATTGCCTCCATTTAATTTTCACCAAGCCTAATACAATAAACAAAGCATGCCCTTTTTATTTGTAAAAATGAATTGTGAGGACCTAAGGAGCCAATATTGACCTTGGCCTAGGCCTATTGCCTCTGTCAATGCAGATGTCATAAATATACTAAATGGTACTCTACAGTTGCATGATATTCTTTCCCTTTGTAAGCAGTAAGATATAGTATTTACCCTCAGATTGTGCCACCAATACTGATGCCTGCAGCTGCCACATTTGATCCTCTGCCTCTTCAGCTGCCACCTTTGACTTTTCTCCATTTTCCTTAGCAGTTTCAAATTGACCAATTTCTAGATAACAACGGCCTATTTCATGATACAACCATGTACTCTCTAATGCAGATTTAGACATTGGTAATTTCTTTTCCCACCTAAAATATGAACAACATAATAATTATTACATGCAATAATGCTTTATGTAACAATTTAATGAGATTAATATACTCCCTACCTACTTTTCCCCTCTTAAATTCCATCTAGGATTTCTTGTATTTGGTATTTTTCCCTATATTATACCTTCCTTTATGTTTTATTTTTGTTAACAAATTATTTTATTAACAGTAAAAGAAAATTATGTAATTAATAATTGTGTAATACATGATACATTCTAATTCTCAGTATAAGAGTTTTTTATGCATGAATTCAAATTTGTCCCCCCCCCCCAAAAAAAAAAAAAGATTCTACCAAAAAAAACTCTTATAATTTTTTTTAGATATAAATAAATGGGGAATGTGTCCATGGGACACAGATGATGCCCCCCCCTTGCATATCATATACAATTATAAAGGGACATAACTGAAGAATGGTAAAAGTGACGCTACTCAAATTTGTACTTGATCTGAGTTTTGTAGTAATAAGTATTGTGTATAAGTTTCATAACATTTGGTTGAGGCCAACTTAAGTTAGAGATCAGAACAAAAAACTCAGCAATTTTTCCATTTGTAAAGGGGCACAACTCTAGAACAGTAAAAGTGACGCCACCAAAATTCAAACTTGATCTGTATTTTGTGGTAATAAGCAAAGTGTATAAGTTTCATAATATTTGGCTGAGGTAAACTTAAGTTGGAGAATGGAAACGAAAAATTCAGCAATTTTTCCATTTAATTTTGTAAACTGGCATAACTCTAGATCAGTGAAAGTGACACCACCAAAATTCAAACTTGATCTGTATTTTGTAGTAATAAGCATTATGTATATGTTTCATAACATTTGGTTGAGGCAAACTAAAGTTAGAGAACGGAAACCAACTTTGGGACGTATGGACGGACGTACAGACGGACAAGGGTAAAACTTAATGCCCCCTCCGTGGCAGAGGGGGCATAAAAATCCAACTAGCAATACCTAATCTAATTTGACTGATGCATTTAATAAAAATCTGGAAGACTTACACTTGTACTGCTTTTTCAAAGTTTCCATGTCTGGCATGAACACGACCTAAATTATCTAAGCCTCTTGATACTGCTTCTTCCATATCACTGCAATAAATAAATAAACATTTAAACAAGTTTCTAATTAGTTTTTATGAACATTTATAAAATAAGCTTTCTTTGCATAATTAACTGGGACATTTCACAAACAAGGGAAGTAACTGAGTTTCTAAAGGTATTTCAGAACGGAAGAATCTAACAAGAAGTCAATTTTCATCAAAACTAAACTTTGGACCCATTTGAAAAAAAGTTTTACACCTGTTACAATATTGAAACATTTAAATGTTTGTGTCAAATAAAGCACTTGCAAAAATTAATTTTATTAAATTAAATCATTTACATCTGTCATGATATCACCTTCGCTAGCCAAGGGTTACGATCTACTTCCCTCCTCTCCACCCTTGGCGGATTGAGAAAGAATTTCGGAGACACAAGGTAATGATTTTCATTGGTTGCAGTCGAAACTCGCTGCATCCAATCAAAAAGCGCCAATAACATGATCACGTGTAAATGTAGAAAGTGTATGTAAACAATTGCCACGAGCTTATTGTGCAACAAGTCTTTACATCCCTAAACATACGACTATATTTAGTGACAATTTGAATGTTTTTAATCAACTAATAGAAGTTCCTGTGTATGTTTCTTGCACAAATGCATGAATGTCAACGTATATTTTCGTTTCCTGCTTTACCAAGTGTGTAGAATCTAGACGCTACCGTGTTTGTACCTCCAAATTGAAGAGTTCAAGTGCTACCATTGGTCAAGAATAATGTATTCGGAATGGGCGTGACTTTAATCTACCGATAGATGGCGCAACATTGTTATCACAAATGTTGGCTTAATCTGCCAAGGGTGGAAAGGAGGGAAGTGGATCGTAACCCTTGGCTAGCGAAGATGTCATGATATTGAAACGCTAAAAAAAAGTCTGTGTCAAATGAAGAACTTGCAAAAACTTATTTTATTAAATTAAATCAATTACATCTGTCACGATATTGAAACGTAAAAAAAAAATGTCTGTGTTAAATGAAACACTGGCAAAAACTTATTTTATCAAATTAAATCATAATGTCTACAAAACATACATGAATCTAACCCTGAAAACATGAACATTTTTAGAGATTTTATCATATAAAAAAAAAAGGTAAACAATATAGAACCAACACTTTAATAATTGACAACTTATGACATTTTCTTCAAAATAAATAACCATGCTTACATGCCACAGTCTTGTAATATCTTAAACAAGAGTGAGGGCATTTATGCTTAATACATTATCAACAACCGTGAAAATGTGAAAAGTGAACCAAAAACAAGATTTTATATAGTCAATATATAGCTTACTTGTCTTCTCCCATACTCAAGTCAATGTTATGGTGCTCTAAAGATTTGTCATACTGTCCCATCTCCAGGTAAGCATTTCCTATACAACTGTTAAGATTAGCTAAGACTTCAATCTTATTTGGAACTTGTTCTGCTGTGAAACTATTTACAGTATTAAGACATCGCTGTGATCTCCGTAAAGCTTCCTGATACTCTCCTTCAACTTGAGCTTAAAATAAAATAACTAGATTAAACATAACATAGAATTAGAAAACTAAAGACTGAGCAACACAAACCCCATCGAAAATTTGGGTTAAATGTGCTCCAAAAGGGTAAGCAGATCCTGCTACACATGTGGCATCTGTCAAGTCACTCATGTAATTACAAATTCTCCTTCAACTTGAGCTTAAAATAAAATAACTTTATATTAAACACAACAAAGAAAACTGAAGACTAAGCAACATGAATCACATCAATATTTGGGGTATGAGGTGCTCGAGAAGGGTAAGAAGATCCTGCTCCACATGTGACATTTGTCATGTGCCTCATGTAAGTACAAATTCGGCAGGTCACATTTGAGGAAAAGAGGATGGGATTGTGGTTACACCTTAGAAGGGATGACTCTAACTTAACTGGAACTCTTAATTTAATAGCTTCCTCTCAAGCAGCAACCAATTTATCAAGGAAATCATGATAGGAAATGCAAGCTCTGGAATATCGTATTAACTTGGGATATATATACTCCATACGAAGGCGATACTGGAATGTTGCTACATAGAAATGGAAAGTTCACAATTTGAAATCATCTCTTTTGTAAAATATCTTATTTCCCGATGGTAAACATTCTGTACACATGTTAAAAAGAGAAAAAAAAGTTTATTTCCAAAGAAAAACTACCCTTTGATTGATTGATTGATTGGTGTTTAACACCACTTTCAGCACTATTGGCTATTTCATGGAGGTCAGTTTTTATAACTGAAGGAAGTCTGAGTGCCCAGAGAGAACCACAGCCTTCTACAGGGAAACTGACAATCCTTGTCAATTAAAGTTGAACTCACAACCTCAGTGTTGACAGGCTAGTGATACAGTAGTTAGACTACTTAGACCATGCAGCCACCATTAACCCTTTGAAGTGAGTTTAAACTTAATAATACATAATTTTAAACTATTCATCCTATACACAGAAAATCCTTGATAATGTTTACCTATATCTATCTTTTCTAATTCTCTGATGATGTAATCATTAGGTGCTAGTTTTCCTGTGTGAGTATCAGTTCTGTTGCGTTGCTGTGCTCTTTCATGTTTTCTGGCATACATGGGTTTTTGTTGTCTCCAGAAATCTGTTCTGGTATCCAGATATGACAAACCCTCAGTAACCAGATTGTTTATCACCTTTCCAACCTCTGATCTTGAATCTAAAAAAATGTATTTGAAAATTGGAAAAGAAATAATGGACTAAACTCAAAAGTATATCTTAAAAACATTAGTGCAAATCAACTGGCATATTTGGGAATTCAACAACTTTAATATTGAAGTAACAAAACAATAAAACAAAGTCTGAACTTTATTTAAGATGACTAAAGCAAAACAGAAATGACTTTAAATGATTTCCTCTTTTCATTTACAAAACATTTAATGTTTTGAATGCAATAGTTACCATTTGTACCTCCCATTTGAGCTGTTTGTTAAGATAGATTGATAGCTGCTTAACATGCAGCCACACATATTACAGATATATTCAGGGGAGCAATGTCATAATTATACTCTTTTACATGTATTTATTGCTGTTTAATTTCTTTAAAAATAAACAAAATATTTAACATTTTTCACCTTGAAAAGTTATCTTTGTTATTATTTATTTTATTTTAAGGATTACACAAAGCCTAAAATGTGTGGTGTTTAAGTTTGATGTCTAACAATGAAGCTATGACATCCGACTGTATTGGTGCCTAAGAAAATAAAAGCATTTTTGATTAATAAAAAAAAAAAAAAAAAAATTTATATTTCATAAGAAGGGAAATAACTGTATTGTATTTTAAGCTTGGCATACATAAAACTACATGTTGTATCTTAAATATCTGTTTACCTAGCTCCACTATGTGTTGACTGGTAAACTCAATTTGCAACAGTAAAACCTGTTTTACGTAGGCTAAACTTTAAATACAAGACTGTGAGTTACCTCTTAATTCTATTTTGACATTTTATAAAGTCTGCATGTCAAGTCATTGCCAACCTGTGTCTCAAGCTTGTACAAATATGAAATTAAAGGTTCCCTCACAATAAGATATTTCAGATACCTTAGTTACTGTGCTTTTCAGTAACAAGTGGGTGGTTTAGCTAGCTATAAAACCAGGTGGTTTAAAACACCATTTTCTTTGTAAAATGCCTGCACCAAGTCAGGAATATGACAATTGTTTTCCACTCGTACCATTGGTTGATATACATGTAGTTTAACGTTTATTTTTGTCAGTTTCATGGAATTCCACTTTTTCAATTTACCTTGGAATTTGGTATTTGTTAATGCTTTAATTCTAATAAGTATGAATTTACCTGTTTCTTTGAGAAGTTTTTCTAAGTATTGTCTGTCACCATACAGTTCTCCTAACAGCTGTTTTATAGTTTTTTCACTACCGACCGGTCTACTTGGATCGTATTGTCTACGTTTCGGTGCTTGTGTAGTCGTCTTCTTATATGTACTGTACTGTTGTTTCTTTGGTTTTTTCTGTAAGATATTTTTCATATATAAATTCATATATATATATTTCATAAATATATTGTCAATTGAAAAAAATTTCAGCAGATTTTTTTGCATATTTCAAGCAATCCAACCATCAACTTCGCTTTTCAACTTCAATAAAAAAAAAGGCATTTTTTTTTTTAAAATACATTATTTAAGATTTACTGTGGATTCATTTATTTTCGTGGGTATCAATTTTTGTGGATTGAGGAACACTTGCATTTTCGTGGATATTTGATTTCGTGGTTTTGCCAATCTCTGCATACAAAGCCAAATTAACATTTGTAATTCGTTGAACATTTGAATTTGTGGTTCACCTGTACCCATGAAACCAATGAAAATTGATATCCAACGAATAATAATGAATCCACAGTAACTCAATTTGGTTAAACCAGATGACATAATATTTTTGAAAGCAATATTCAGGAACCCCAAAAAATTAAAAAATTTGGAGAGCTTCTTCACATAATTACTCAAATTACGTTATGATTGTGCCACCCCAAAAAAAAAGGAGCCTAAAAAAAAAAACCATTGTGTGTAAAAAAGCATTATCATTATAATAATCACAGTATTAACTTCTTAATTAATCCATAATTGCTGTTAAATGACAAATGCTTATTCTGGGTGTTTTGCTATTCATTTTCTTTTTATTTCCCAATAAATATGTACAAAATTACCTCATCTTGTTGAGCAAAAAACGTCAAATCACCTTCTGTGGTCAGTTTTACTTTTTCTGGAGCTACAAAAACAAGAATGATTAAAAATTTTGCACTGTAAATTAAAGTTTTTATGCAGGCATTTATCATTTATATTGGTGAACAATTATTGCTATTTGAGAAAAATGTTGCATACAATTAAATGAAAAAATGCTATTAAAACTTAAAATAGGAAGTTTCATTTTTTGTAACATATATATCATATTGCAAATTTCCCAAAATTAAAACATCGCCAACATTTCTGAAGTTGCACCATCTGCATTTTTTAATTTTATTACATGTAAAATTGAGAATGGAAATGGGGAATGTGTCAAAGAGACAACAACCCGACCAAAGAGCAGAAAACAGTCGAAGGCCACCAATCGGTCTTCAACACAGCGAGATAAAAGGCGTGCTTCAGCTGACCCCAAAACAAAAATGTGTACTAGTTCAGTGATAATGGACATCATACTAAACTCCAAAACATATAAATGAACTAAAATTAAAAATAATACAAGACTAACAAAGGCCAGAGGCTCCTGGCTTGGGACAGGCGCAAAAATGCGGCGGGGTTAAACATGTTTTGTGAGATCTCAACCCTCCCCCTTTACCACTAGCCAATGTAGAAAAAACAAACACACAGCAATATGCTCAGTTTAAAAGAAGTCCACGTCTGATGTCAGAATAGGTAGCAAAAGAAACTAAGCAAAATGACAATGATACATAAATTAACAAAGGACTGCTAGCAGTTACTGACATGCCAGCTCCAGACCTCAATTAAACTGATTGAAAGATTATTTCTTCATCATAAGAAAATCAAGCACAATCCCTCCTGTTAGAGGTTTAGTATCATACCATCATAAACTATATGAGAAGAACATAACCCGTATCATGCCAACAACTGGTTTTAGAATAAATGTGTTTATTTCCGATGCAAAGACTTTATGAGTGAATCAATATTGATTCCAAAATATGCCATTTTTAATGACCTGACAACAATATCGTAACTACATCCCTTCTGAATAAGTCTGTTTAAAGGTTTGGTTAGCTGTTGAGGTGAATGTCCTACATATTTTCATCATTTTAAAAGTTGTCTCAAGTTCAAAATATCTGAAATAATTGTCTATATTGTGAAGAATATTTTTTATACTTTTTTTCTTTATAAAAGCTAATTTTCATAGACATATACTGTAGATTGATTATTATTTATGGTGTGCTTATGTTTGTGTATTATGAAGGAAAAAGGGGAACAACGAATTTCAGTGTTTAACAAAATACAGATTTGTCAAAACCTGCTTATCAAGTATAGTAGTAATGAAAGTATATTTTTTTCCCCATTCCTCATAAATTGCAGCTGCTACCATAAAAAAATAAATGTGTCCACAGTACATATCATATTATGAGTAAAAGATGTTAGATAGATGTTAATGCATGGAGACATCAATCCAATGACTAAAACAACCAAAAGACATCCAGAAGAGATCAACATACAATCTTCAGCAACAGAAAGGTACATGTATATACCATGTACCAGGTTTTTTTCTCATGTGTGTTTAGTTTTCACTTTGTTTGCGGCAGCTAAAGAAACACGAAAATTTTATTTACTGCAGTTTTAAAGCTGCATACATTATACTGTTGAGTATTCACAAAGTTGACATGTATAGACTGCTTTCCCCCTAAAGGAGAAATAAATTTGTATATATAAAATCAGTTTTTTGTGTTAACCGACAGATCACAAGAAAGTCCATATTCAATTAAGATCTCTGTTTTCATAATAATTAAATTGGCTTATCATACATGTCATACCTTTGACAACACAGCAAACAGTGACATGTTCCAAAATGTTAATTAACGATGATCTATTCATTGTTGTTATACACCAATCAATTTGCATTTAAGATGTAAAAATTTTGAACAAATCACATGTAATGAACATTTGCACAAATATGCTTTAAAACTTTCTGTTATACCATCACAATCTTCAATTTTAGAATGCCACAATGTACATAATTTACTTTTCTTGAAAGTTCTCTGAATTTTATGTGTTTAAGATTGTAGTACTCCTATTTATTTGTAATCGATCGCGATTATCTGTCAGTTAAGGTTTCTGTCGTTTACATCTCTAACAATACTATACAGTGATTTTTTCGTGTGTATATTCAGATTCAGCAAAAATTATACACGATGAAAATTTTACCTGCCTATTTTATCATTGAATCGCGAACCCCTCCCCGATATATGATATATATATATCAAGCTCTAAGTCGTTCTTAATCTCTTTAACAACCCTGAACAGTTGGGGCAAAAATGGACACAATATTCAAGCTTGATTCAGGTCTGAATTTGGATTGTAATTAAATATTTGACATATTATAGGTTTCTGAATAAATGTAGTCAAAGAACTTGAAATTGGTTATATGAATTGAATTTATATTCAATTAAAGATTTCTTGCTGTTGTGCAATACTTAGTAAATCTGTTGTCAGACTATAAACAAATAAAGTTCAATTAATTCTCAATGTCATATTAGAAATTTATGAAAATAAAAAGGGAGCTTACATCAATAGATATAAACAATTCACCAAAGTTTCATGAGAATTGGTGACAGCATTTTTGAGTTATTGTCCGAAAACTGGAAAATCACCCCTTTTTTTAATGAATAAAACCCCATAACTCAGAAATGTAATATGTAAAATTTATAAAATTCTAAAGGGAGCTTACAATAATACATACAAACAATTCGCCAAAGTTTCATAAGGATTGCTGAAAGCATTTTTGAGTTTTTGTCAGAAAACTGGAAAATCCCCCCTTTTTTATGAATAAAACCCTGTAACTCGGAAACGTGAAATCTAAAATTTATAAAAATCGAAAGGGAGCTCATGTCTATAGATATAAACAATTCACCACAATTTCTTGCAAGTTGGTGAAAGCATTCTTGACTTATTGTCCGAAAACAGGAAAATCACCCTTTTTTTAATGAATAAAACCCCATAACTCGGAAACATAAAATCTAAATTTTATAAAAAACGAAAGGGAGCTCACGTCAATAGATATAAACAATTCACCAAAGTTTTATTCAAATTGGTTAAAGCATTTTTGAGTTAATGTCCGACATGTTGACGACGGACAGACGGACGGACAGAGGTATACCATAATATGTCCCGTAAACGGGCTTATACAAAGTTGAAGTTGTAAATAAGTTAATAGAATCTATCATAGAAAACTTTGGACAAAGAGCGCAATTATGTTTAGCAGTTAAAGTTCTAAATCATAAAATGTAATTTTTTTAACAGCAATTGAATCTTAAATAACACCTACATCCAACAGAATTGTCTATGGCTTCCTGAGCTTTCTGTATTCCAAGCCTGAATTCCTGTAACTCTGGTCGAAGTTTGTGGCCTCTGTGGTAAAATACAAGGGACATCTCAAAATCTCCTTGGTAGTATAATGCTTGAGCCTTTTGATATACACCCTATAAAGAAGTATTCAACATGTTCTTTAACCATGTTACAGAATCAATATTCTACTAATAATATAAATTAACTTTAATTAATTATTATTAAGTGATACTTTCAAGGTCTTGTATGAACTATAATTATTGAAGAAAAAAACACATGCTATTAAATTTGGAGCTACATGTATCTGGTTACATTCATGATTGCACACACAGTATTTTTGACTAAGAAAGGAGTTGTAGGAAATGCTTTTAAATCTAGACTACTGATTGGCTCTCATCTTTTTTTTGGAAACAGCAAAATATTCTACATGTTAGAAATCTAACATCAATTCTTAAATCGTAAAGTTATTTTTTTGGGGGAAAAAATGGTATTTATATATAATACCGAATAAAGAGAAATTTTTTTGTCTTTTTTTTTTTGGTTATCAAAATTCTGTCTTTATCATGTTTTAAAATGAGTTGTCTTCTGAAAGTGACTTGTCAAAAATATTGAGAAATTTAATTTCTATCAATATTATACATGTACCTTGTGAAATGTGTTGTCTTCTGCAAGTGACAATTCTGCATCTTCTAGAGCACTTATTGTGTCCCCAAGTTGTAAATGACATTTTGACCGGCAAACTAAACAATTTTTGTCGTGTGGCAGTAGTTCTAATGCCTGTAAAAACAAAATGAAATAGACAATAAGCGGTAAAAATTGTACATGTATGTACAAGCAATTATTTTTTCTTTTCACAATTGCACTGATAAATTGTCCATCTGAAATAATTGTCTATACTAGTATTCATAAAAGTATGATCTCATGCAGGACAGTGAAAATATCATTTGTCAGTTACTTTCAAAATACTACTTAACATGCTTATACTTATAAGCAAGCCTATAGCATGTATAGGGAACAACATTTTCTTAGATACAGACCTCATTAATCAGAGGTAAAAAAAAGTGTCCCAAATACCAGTAGGTCCAGTTATCGTCCTTTGATTTTCGTTGTCTACAAATATAGTCCCTCGTGTGGACAGTGTGTTACTTGCTATTTTTTTTTATACCCCTCCCAACTCTTATTTCTTCATGTTTTATGCCTCAAATAGCAAGTAGGGGGATGAAATTACACTAAAAAATTGGGCTCATGAATTTTAAAGTAAAGTAGTGATTTGGTCCTGCTATAAAAGTTTAAAATTAGCATTTAGGAAGCTGTCAAAAGAATTCAAGACCCCCATAAAATTGTCCATATCTTGAGTTAGAGCTGATGAAGTTTTCTATAATTTTGATATAATTTGTCCCAAAAGTAGTACACCACACTGTAAAAATATTATAGAGAAAGCGCAGGTGGGTCTTTTTTAATTTTCATTTATTGTCTAAAAGAAATGCACTACGAAATAACTGTGTTCTCAGGCCAGTAGAACTGCTCTCAACTAATAGTGAAATGTATTCTAGTTACTGTCAATACTGATCTTAATTAGCTGTAGTTCGATTCTTATCACAAATATGTCAATAAATATAGAATAACCATAACTTGTCTCGAAATATAAATTTTATTTGTGCAAGGCTTAGAAACAGGTAAAAAGCCAGGCTTTTCTATTCTGTTTTGAGCCGAGGTTATTTTTTATATACTGCAACTCCTATAACTGTTCCAAATGAAATAGTTAGGATTAAAGCCATCATTTTTTAATGTGGAGCAGACAGCATAAAATTTCCGCGAACCTACATGTATTGTTTATTGACATCATAAATAAAACTCTATTGAAACGCATTGTCAACTTCATTAACAAGGTGATATATGGTCAGTGACTGCATATCATAAATGAATATACATGATATACAGTCAATGCAATTTGACTGCGCAAATAGCATAGCTACAGTACATATAACAAATTGATAACATATCTTCAATTTAAAACTAGCTATAAAATTTATATTATTATACACTTAACTTATGAAGTTGGATGACTTTTGGCCAAATCAGAACAACATTTCTGGACTCCTTTTGTACTTTTGTATGAAGGGGGGGGGGGGGGGGGGGGGGGATTTCGATGAAGGTGTTATTTTTGTTCCTCGATGTCGTTTTTATAAAACTTACAAAAAAAAATGCATGTAAAGTTTTAAGAAAATTAGGTTAAGAATAAATAAATAAATAAATATGAAAAAGTATAAGAATTTGCATCAAACTGGAAAGTATGTCGTTTTTTTCCCATGGCACATTATCTAAAATACCCACTGTTGTGTAGCTTTCAATTGATTTTCTGTATTCTCCTTGCTTGAACAACGAATCTGCTTCAGCCTTATATATTTCAAACGTTCCCTTTGGTCCATCTTCATCGCCGTCAAACATCTTGCAGTTTTTTTTCTATTTCTTTCAGTCCGGTCAAATATTTTACCACACTCTGTCAACTTCCGGTCTATAATTTACCATAGGAACGTCAGTGGTGCGGAACGTAGCTTCCCACACTCACGTGCAATTTCCCAAAGTTATTTACCGCTTTTCTTTGAAGAATTGTCTTTTCTGGTGAATTTAATGTGTAATGTACAAATTCAGTTTTCTTCTTAAATCGAATTTTCAAACATAGCAACGTACCAAAATAAAGAAAACTACAGGGATTACAATTAACAAAAGAAATTAAGTTCATTAGAAAAAAAAATCATAATCAATGGATTAACGCCGGATTAAACCTGGATAATATTATTAATAATAATACAGGCATTTAAATATGACTCGTTTTAAGCATATGTGACATTTACGTGTAACAAGACAAAACTTATAAAATGAATGGTGAATCAATGATATACAAGAGTAATAACTGAATACATATATTTTACATGTAGATGTATTATATGAATGTCATGTAAAATACTGTATGTTGTAAAGATTATATTTGATAGATGTATATGTTCCCCTAGGGACCTAATTTGGAAAATAAAACATCTTATCTTTATCTTTATCATATAAATATATGAGCGACCAAGAAGAAAAGACACTTATGAATCCTTTTGTGGTTAGGATGAGCTGCCGATACATCCTGTACCGCACCTAATCATATATTTTGAATATCTAAAATGCATACCTGATCAAACATTTTTTTTGCAAACAAAGATAAATCGCTATATTAGGAAGAATATTTCATTCAAATTAAGTGCCCCAAAGGGCACGAACATTTAAAATGACAATAACATTGTAATTTTAGATTAAAACAAATAACATTGAATAAAATTAAGTAACTATTTAAGCTTAAACTTTTATAATGCACAAAGCAAGTGTGGCTGATTATATATTGAGAAAAACAAGGATAATACATAGTTATATAAGATATATATATATATAAATTTGTCTAGCCCAAAGGAGCAGTGAGCATGTTTACAGTCCTTCCCGTGTCAGCAGCAAGTAAGATAGCAGTGTAGTATCCTAATGCAGCTGGCACCATGGAATGATACTTTAAAGGCTGACTGGCATTCTAAATATATATGTGGAAATGTCCTGCTTGTATCAAAAGTATAACAGGCAGCATCATAAGTAACTCGAATGCAGTTGACGTCTGTCATTAGTATATATGAATATTTTCATTATAAAAAAGATAAAAAGAATGATTTAATCAATATATATCTTCCATTTCAATATTTTAAGGACTAATTTGTTTTTGACTTTTAAATCAAAAAGTAGATACAACAAAAATATAAAAGACATGAGTATATAATATAACATATAATTTTAAGTTAATCAACATTTTCTACACTAAAATGCAAATTATTTTGTTTTGACTGCTCATATTATCAAAATAAGTATTAACTTTTGCATTGTTAACATCATACCACCTCTTTCATTCTTGAACTTTGTGCAATAAAAAGAATGAACCTCATCTCAACAGGACTGGCAGTGCTAATTCTACCAAAATCAGATAACACTGCAACATTTGTTGACTTTTTGTGTACAGTATAAATTTGCTAAATGTTATGTGAAATTTCTCACTGACTATATTACTCCATTTCATCCAGTTAAAATAGATTTTTCAAATGTATAACATCGCCGCGATATAGCCTTTCTGTGCTAATGCGGCGTAAAGCAAACAACAATCAATCAAATGTATAACGCATTTTCGATTGTGGTTTTAAATCACACCTTTTAGAACATACTCATATCGTAATATCTTACTCAGTATAGTTTAAGATACGTATGATATAATCAACAACTTATTTTCTCGCGGCCCTTATCATATAATATGAAGCTTAAGGTAATAAATAGCCAATTCCAGCGGCTCATGCCTACCCTTCAGTGCAAAGTGAGCCCCAACCCCACCCCGAGACAAAAAAGAAAGGGTTCATATATTTTGTCAGTACAAGCAAGGAAGTCACAGTTTATTCGAACAGAAGAGAACGTCCTTGGTACAAGACGAGGTATACGAGGAAGGCGTTCAGTAACCAATTTTCGTTAGCTCTACTAGTAAGAGACCGGATCATAACCCTTGCTTGCAAAGATGTCAGTAACCGAATGTTTTTACTTATTTGGCTTCTTATCAAGTTAAAAAGTTTCTTTAATATTTATAATGAAAATTCTGAAGTCCAAACGCTTAGAAACAAATCTTCTGTGCTTTTTCTGGATTAACTTTCACTGAGAACACTTAAAGCCAATAGCTATATAATGACATAAGTGATTACGGTCATTCTATTCTTATGAACATTATGCAACCCTTTTAACAGAAATATGTTGTTTTTCATTCATCACATTTGCCTAAAGAGCCAACGTAGAATATACATGCCCAACAAAAGCACAAGTGGCGCAATATAAATTACATAATTATATATTTATTATATTTATGTTTTTTTTTCAACATGAATTTATTTTTGTCATTCTAAATGTTAAGTAAATTTAAACACCACCAAGAACACTAATATTGTTCGAATAAGAAATAGATGAGAAAATGTTTTGACAGTATTCTCAAAAAACAAACAATTTATTAGATAATGACATATTAGATAGATTACATACAATACAATACAATATGCTTTATTTAAAAACACTCTGTCACATTCACATTTGAAACAAGAGGTAAACATATACAAAATACAATCACATTCAATCATAGAAAGAAATAAAACAACTCTAAAATGGAATATATTAATAATAACTATACTTTATATTATTTTAATTAACTTTGAAACGAACAGAGATACATTTTTTAGTACCTTTATATTAACCAATGTAGTAATCCTTTCATTTTTGCTGCGCTGGGATATTTTACATAGTACTCTGGAATGTTTTGATTTCTGATATTTTTTACTAAGATGTAATTGAGATATGGTATGATTGCCTATGAAACAACTATCCACCAAAGTTAAAATGAAGTGGATGTAAGCAATTATAGGCAACCGTACGGCCTTCAACAATGAGAAAAACCCATACCGTATAGTCGGCTATAAAAGGCCCCGACTTGAAAAATATGATACAGTTCAATTGAGAAAACTAACGGCCTAATTTATAACAAAACAATTTCCGAAAAACAAATATGACAGACATGAATCAACGACAACCACTGAACTACAGGCTCCTGACTTGGGTCAGAAACATAAATAATGTGGCGGGGTTAAACATGTTTGTGAGCGCTCAATCCTCCCCTTACCTGCAAAAAGCATGGGACAGTGGTGTAACAGCACAACATAAACAAAAACCTATAAAAATCAGTTGAAAAAGGCTTAACTCATCAGATCGATATAAAGAAAAACATCAAACAAAAACGCATACAGGACGTGGCAGGGTATATACCTATCCCTCATCCCTAACAACAGAAAAGACACTAAGTACAAATCTGAGAGTACTCACAGTTACTGACAGCTAGTTCAAAGCTAATAACAACTAATATAAAAAAAGCATGTATCTAAGACTAGAATATCAATCAGTACACATCCTCTCTTCTTTCGTAATATTGTTCCACCTACCCAGCTCTACTGGAATTTTCACATAGCAGCATCTTAATTTAGAAATATATTCACGTTCCATGGGTGATATTTGTACAAGATACTTTTCTAAACCAAACATTGTTTTAAACAGACCGTAAAATTCACCACTGGAAGAATTGTCAATTTGACTATACCACTTTTGAATGTATTCATCTTTAAGATTTTGTTTCAGAACGTTTTTCAATTGATTTACATCTAATGGCAATTTCTGAGTCTAAGCATAGCTAAGTCCAGAATTGTCTAAAATCGATTTAAGATAGTCAATCCACTTGAACGTATAATCATCTTTTAAGTTGAACATTATTTGATACAGGATACTGCTTAGTTTGTTTTCATTGGCGAGAAGTTTATTCCACAAACATGCCATTCTAACTTTTATTATGGTATCTATTGTTGTACGACCAAGTTATCCATCTGTCATAAAATTTGGTGTCAAGGATCTAATTTTTAACACATTTCGGCAAAAATGTAGTTGAATTTTTTTCAGCATGTAATTGTTTCCGAATCCCCATATTTCACACCCATATGTCAGAATGGAATGTATAATTGTATCAAACAGTTGTAATTGCAAGTCGACAGGTATTGAGAGGTTTCGTATCTTTGAAAAAAACCAAATGAATTATTTTAATAAAAAGTTAGTCCTATATATAAATAAGATTCTTGAAATTCAATAGACTGGTTAAATAATTGAAACTTTGGCAATTTTTGTGATTTCCGTTTGCAGAACACAACAACCTTTGCCTTTGATAAATTAACGTTTAACTTCCATCGGACACACTATCTTTAAAAAACAAGTATACATGTATAGGATGAGAGTTGTGAATTTTAAACTTAGAACAGCACCGAATAACACCAATATATGCTAATTATTGGTTACATGCAACTTATCAAACAAATGTTGTTTTTTTTCAAAAATGCACGAACTTTAACAGACAATGGAAAACATTTTTTATAGAAATAAAGAGACTATAAGAATATGTCATCAATACCAAAATTCCTTTAACAAAGAAGAAAAACTACGATATAACACATCAACGTGAAAAAGTAAAATAACAAAAATACCGAACTCCAAGGGAAATTCACGGAAAGTCCTATATAAAATGGCAAAATCAAAAGCTCAAACACATCAAACGAATAGAAAACAACTGTCATATTCCTGACTTGGTACAGGCATTTCCTTATGTAGAAAATGGTGGATTAAACCGGGTTTTATAGCTAGCTAAACCTTAGAATTCCATTATATTGACAAACAATGTGTGAGCAAAACAAACAAACAGACATAATAGGTAAAATTGCCAAAAATTGGGGTACAGCAGTCAACATTGTAATATAATCTTAATCACTATAAAACCAATAACTATTTAAACAAAGAAAAACAAAATGGCGTATAGAGTCTAGCTTTTTCGCGAGGATAAAAAGTTTATAAGAAATTCTTTAATTTTATAATATACAATGTAATCAAAAGTAATGT